TCTGACGTCTGGTTCTTTTTCTCCGGCGGAGGCTACCGATTAGGGTTTGGGTTCCTGCATGACACGAAGTGCTTATATATATCTCGCGTCGATTTAGACTGCTCATCGCGATTGATGTCGTTTTAACCAATCATTATCTAAGGAGGAAATGAATATGAACCATTCATCGCGATTGATCTCAACTATCCGATCGCACCTAAGGAGAAACGAATCAAGGCTATCCACGCGCGTGATCGATCCTAGGTCATACGATCGCGGGACACGTAGATCGCCTGCATGGTACCGACGTCAGCATGTCTTGCTACGCAACATGCTCCGGTTCGTCGAGATTGCTAGTTGGGGGGGGGGGTCTTACATGGCCGAACTTTCTCTTATTGCACTTTAACATCTTGTTTTCTATTTTTCTTTTAAAAATACTTCCTAAATCTAAATTTTTTTCTATTTTTTAAAAAATTATTTTTAATTTCATTTTTAATTCTTTACTTTTTCAAAATTTTATTTAAATAAAAATAAAATTAATTAATTACTTATTTTAGATTAATAATTTAATAATAAAAAATTATCTCGTATTGTTGTATAGGCCCGGATATTACAAGAACTGTAAATTTTATCTACAGATGGAGAGATCCTTATTCACTGTGTATATATTTGTTGTGCGAGTTATGTTTATATATATCATACACAGCGCCATAAAGTTTCATGCAGTATGTATATATAGATATATATATATATATATATATGCTGCATTTAGTTGAATCTATCAATTTAAAGGTCAAGGATTCAGAGTCGGGACAAAAAAATAAATAATAATTGAAGCAGGGAGCGCCAGTATTCGTTCTCAAAACATAAATAGAGACAGAGCAAGAAAGAGAAATTTCAGTGAATGAACCGCGGTCACCTCCTCCATCATGATGATGAAATTAATGAACATATCTCCGACCATGTCATCTCCATCATCTCCACCCTCATCATCGCCGTTGGCCTCCAACTCGATCTCCACTCCGCCATCGTCGGCGCTGCCGCTGCGCACGATCCCTGGATCGTACGGATGGCCGTTACTGGGACCGCTGTCGGACCGATTGGACTACTTCTGGTTCCAAGGTCCGGAGACGTTCTTCAGGAAGAGAATGGAGAAGAACAAGAGCAGCGTGTTCCGTACAAATGTGCCTCCGAGTTTCCCCTTCTTCCTGGACGTGAATCCTAACGTGATTGCGGTGCTGGATGTGAAGTCGTTCAGTCATTTATTTGATTTGGAGATTGTAGAGAAGAAGGATGTTCTGGTGGGAAGCTTCGTCCCCAGCACCCGATTCACTGGGGATGTGAGGGTTGGGGTTTATCTTGACACCGCTGAGCCAAAACATTCCGAGGTATGCGTACTACGCCATTTCCCATTTCTCAGGATATCTGGACTTTTTTAATATATATATATATACACACACAAGTTATATTTTAGTTTTAGAAAGTCCTTTTTTACGACACAGTGTATTTAAAAATCTGATATCATACAGAGCTTGTGATGGTGTTTGGTCTTTTATGTTGGCAAGTAGGTAAAGAACCTGACGATGGAGCTGCTGCAGCGGGGCTCCAAGGTATGGCAGAGTGAGCTCCTCTCTAACCTAGACAAAATGTGGGACATGGTGGAAGCCACGGTGGCGGAGAAAGGCAAAGCCACTTATCTGGGTCCTCTCCAACAATGCATCTTCAACTTCATCATGAAAGCCCTCGCCGGAATCGATCCCGCCGTCTCCCCCCAGATCGCCAACTCCGGCTACATCATGCTCGACCGCTGGCTCTTCCTCCAGCTCCTTCCCACTGTCAACATCGGCATTCTTCAACCCTTAGAGGAAATCTTCCTCCACTCCTGGGCCTATCCTTTTTTCCTCGTCCGCAACGACTACAAAAACCTCTATGATTTCATCAAACAGAACGGTAAAGAAGTTTTGCAGATTGCGGAAACCAAGTTCGGACTCACCGAAGAAGAAACCATCCACAACCTCCTTTTTGTAATCGGTTTTAACGCCTTTGGCGGATTCTCCGTCTTCCTACCCAGTCTCTTGGATGCCATTTCCAGCGACCAGACCGGGTTGCAAGACAAGTTGAAGAAGGAAGTGAGAGAGCATTCGGTTCCCGGGTCGGGGTTGGATTTTGAGACTATGAGCAAGATGGAGCTGGTTAAGTCCGTCGTGTACGAAGCTCTGCGTTTCAAACCGCCCGTGCCGACTCAGTATGGCCGAGCCAGAAAAGACTTCAGACTCACCTCTCATGACTCGGTGTACGACATCAAGAAGGGGGAACTGCTGTGCGGGTTCCAGCCGTTGGTGATGCGTGACCCGGAGGTGTTTGACGAACCGGAGAAGTTTAAACCGGACCGCTTCTTGGGCGAAGGGAGTAAGTTGCTAAGTTACCTGTACTGGTCCAATGGGCCGCAGACCGGAAGCCCGAGCGAATCGAATAAACAGTGTGCGGCAAAGGAGGTGGTGCCGTTAACTGCGTGTTTGGTCGTCGCCCACTTGTTTCTTAGATACGAAAAGATCAGCGGAGGCTCTGGCTCAATCACGGCCCTTGAAAAGACCAAATGATGGGATCTGAATGGTGATTATGAATTTAAAAATTTGCCGAGTCCTAAGAGTTATAAATGTTTGTTGACCGTTAAGCAATGTTCAGATTCTACTTTGAAAATAATGGGTTGACTTTTATAAGAAAATATGTAACACGTGATTGAAAAATTCATGAAGATAAGAGTATTCTACGCCACAAAATTCATCCAAATATCCATCCTACATATTTCAATCATCAATTTGATCACCTTTGGAATGTGATTATATTATGCTGTATTGAACTATATTGTACTTGTATTAAATAGTTAGATTTTAATATAATCTTACCAAGATACATGTAGAA